AAATGAACAAAAATTCGCAGTTATCAGTTGCAATTCTTTTTGAATCATATATGCTTTTTTTAAAAAAAAAATATTTTTTCCCATCGCTTTTCATTTCTTTTCTTTTTTTCATTGTTGTGAAGAATCATCGCGAAGGTTAAATAAAAAAAAAAAGAGAAAATTCGTATTATTTTATAAAAGTACAAAATATTTCAAAACCCTAAAGCATTAATAATAATACTAATAATTCATTTTAGTTATCCTTCGTTTATCAAATAATTTATTATTCCAGTAAAATTGCAATAAAGTAAAATAAATAAGTGACGTACTATTCTGTGGTTCAACTACTCCACTGGCTGGAGTGGTAATAGCAGAGAAGGAAATTTTTGCCGGATCATTTGACGATAGAAGTGAGCCACCAGCATCACTTGGATCTTTTATTTCTTTCGGAAGCGGAACCTGAACTTTGAAGCTCAAGGCAATAATCTGAGCAATATGTTATCTACCACTCGATTAAGCTCAACAAGGGCATAACCATACCTTACCAAATCAATACTGATTTCCAGCTATCAAAATTCCTCAATAATTAATCCATTAGCGATTTAAAAAGTGATTATAACAAAATTAACATATACTGGAAAATTCATAAATCGTTCCTCTTTCCAGCAAAAACAATTTAATTGTAAATTTATTTTGCTAATTAATCCTCCTTCTACAGCCATCTCAGGTGGGTTTTGCTTCATTAACAATTCGCTATAGAATTTAACGAAAAAAACCAACAATGCTTGAATTCAATCATACCACATTTTTCGGCATAAAAAAGAGATCAATGCTGTGGGAAATTTTTTTTGTGCCAAATGCTAAAACGCTTTTGCAAAAATAACGCTGCGTCTCATCCCAGAAATAACATTTTTTGGCTGTTTTTGAAAAAAAGATGAGAAAAATTAAACAATAATTGAATGCTAAAAAGAGTTTACATTCTAACAAATAGATTGGCTACGTTTACCTACCACTTTCTGGATACACGACCTGGAAACTATCCAAACCTGTGAACCATGACCAGTGCAGTCAATATTCCACACCAACCTTCAAAAATTATACTATACTACATGTGAATATTAATTGGTTCCCAAATTCCACGCAATTTATTCTCGCTGTAGTTGTTGGCATATCGTTTAAATCACTTGCATTCATCATAACCATCAGCAAAAATTCACGTAATTAAAAATAATCGAATAAAACCATAAAAATTGAAAAATCTTTTGAAAAAATAAAGTGAAAAATTTCTTTATTAAGATGCAGCAAAAAATCTTTTCTTTGCAACAAAAAATAAATAATTGTACCTATACAATATATGTGCAGAAAATAAGCCAGAAAAATATAAAATACTTATTAAACAACAGTTTTGCATAACTTGAAACAAAGATTCTGATACACTAAAAAAACGAAGTCATAATTCTGAATGATTAAATGATTAACCTGACCTGAATGACTGAATTTAAATAAGAAAAAGAAATACAAAAATTTATAATGAAATAGAGGATGCAACTCAACAATACAAGTTCAGCGAAAAAAGAAGATCATGACTTTATTTTTGAGAATTCTTTGTAGCCAAATTAGAATATTTCTTTACAAGATTTGCTGCTAGAGATCGTCGAATTCGATTCATATTTCTCACACCAGGGATCACAATGCTTGCTGCTGAAACTGAAGCAAGCTCTGATGATTTTCCTGAAAAAATAAAATTAAAATTACTGGTAACAAATGTGCTGCTAATTTGGACAAACCGCATGAATGTGGCACAGAACTAAAAAAATACAGTTTCATATCTCCTACAGTATTGAATTAATTAAGGAACAAAAAGTTCCAAGTAGAGGATAGAGGTAAAGGAGCACCGTATTACAAATATACAGTATGAATAAAAAATTATTAGGAAACAGAATAACGATGGCAGGCAGATAAGGAAACGAGAAAGATGAGGATTGGTAAGACAAAAAACGAAAAAAAAAATATTAAATATTCTAAGCTATTTTTGCTTTATTTTTTCTGCCAGATAACCAAAAAGATCAGAGAAGTCTCGAGCAATATGTACTTTGCTTAAATATGGTGATCTCCTAATTTACATGCTTCAAGAATAGATATGTGGAATTCGTCAGATTGTCAAAGAACACCATAGCAACAAAAAGTTAAAAGAATCATACTCCATTTACATGGAATTTTCTCAGATTCATTCCAGATTCCATTTAAATACAATTTTCTACCTTTTATGAGTGGTATGGGTCGAACTTCGGACCTTCTACCAGAGACCTAGAAGCATAAGGGTTCCGCGCAATATCTTACACATATCTAACAATGGGCTTGGGCTCTCCTGAAGAGAGACCACTGATCTCATTCCTGGAATTTACCGAAGTCATTTTTCCGGTTTAAGAGGTCATCTGATGCTTTGACCACCACTGGGACCAATTTAGCTTTTATTTTCCACATCTTTCAATCCCTGAGTATTTCTCTAACTTCCTTAACATTCCTGTCACTTGGTATTAATATTTTGTCTATTACCACGATATTTGGTAGATTGGACAGTACTTGTTTGTCTACCTGGATTAAGGTCCACAGGATCTTCGAATTATACTAAGTTGATATTTCTGTAATCCGTGCCATCTATCTGGTTGTGCCTTTCAGTATGTGTTACTCCTGCATCTCATATCCATATGTGTTGGATATTCTCTGGTGCTTTTTTGCGTAGTCTATATCTTAAGCACCATCTTATGTAGTAGATCCTTAGATCTGATGTTGTATTCAGTACACTTGTTCTTGCTAGAATTAATGCTTCGTTGCTACCTTTGAGCCACGCTTTTTCCAAACACTTGTAGGATTTCCCAATGATAGTCACCTTAGCTACGGATAATGCATCAACGATATGTCCTATGGAAAGATTTTTTTACTTTACTATATTATAGTACTTCCTCTTTCTCCATTATCCATTATCCGTAGATTCCTCAAGCATTCTCTCAGCTGGCCGTTTTGTTGATGCATTCCTGAATGCTTCAAGCTTCGTTCAGTGACAATCACCAAACTCCATTCGTATTCCTTTCGGCCAATTTTTGAATGTTACCCCAATTTGGAGTGGAAACTCCCTGGCACTTTGAAAATCTTCGACTTTGCGGCCGCCCTTGATTCAATTGATTGAGCAGAGCTTTGGAGGGTGATGGAACGCGTCCATTTCCAGAGAAGACCATTTGACTCATAAAGGCAAATTATGTGCGCAGGTTTGCGTATATGGGGAGCTGACAGACTCTTTCGAGATAAGAAATGGTGTCTGCCAAGGTGTCCTTTACCCTAAATATTAGACTATGCGATAGATTGGGTAATGGACACCGCTTGTCGGCACTCAAGAGGTGTCCAAATCAGTATTTTCTCAGATTTTCCTAGTTCTAAAATACCTGGCGTTGTCTAGTAGCTTAATTATTATCAGATGCCTTGATTCCTCAATATATGACGCGTACTTTATTACTCTTGGCGATATGCCGGCCGACTCTGGTATGCGATACTCCCACATTTGAGGTAGAGAAAAGCTTGGGAAGGCTGAGCTTTTTGTTTTTACATTCCATATTGATCGCGCGCCTTAACTATGTTATTTTAATTGAATATATAAATATATATACCAAAGGCTAAAAGAAGAATTAAAGATGTGGAAAAGATGAAAAATGAATTAAAGAAAATGAAGGCCAAAGTAGTACCAGTAGTATGAGTCATAATCCCTAAATTACTAGAAGAAAAGTGGCTTCAATAGATTCACCAGAGACACCAGAGATCTTAGTCCAGAAAATATGTAGATAGCAGAATATTAAATCTACCATTTATCTTTATGCTGATAACTGTAAAATTTATTATTCTCATTACAGATCGAATAATTTGTCACCGAGACAAAATAAATTGCTAACTGGTCATATGATAGGCAGATTACCTATTCCGTTCAAAAATGTAATGTTTTAGACATAAATTTGAAAGGATTCGACCTTCCTAATCCTTTTATTAATGGTAATATAACTAGACCAGTCTTAAATATCTCAGGTCTTGGCATAATTATGGATGAAAATCTTGGCTTCGACCTTCACTGCGTCGTAAAGAAATCCTCAAGAATGCTAAGTTTTATTTCTCGTTCGTTTAAAATAAACTGAAAGCTTTCTTATTAAAATGTATTCTCTTCTGAGCAAAATAAAATTACTACTCCCTTAGATGCCGCAAATCAAATAAATTAATTATTGGAAAACTTCAGAAATATTTCATTCATCGCCATTTTTTAATTGCGAGCTTAATTATAAAATACAACTATATAACTATGTAACCTAGACTCCCTCTCAATTCATAGAGTTAAGCAAGATTTAATTTATACTTATAAAATTCTATACGATTATGTCAAATTAAAATATATAATTTTAGGTTAAATTTGAGCACAATAAGATCTAATGAACTAAAATTACTAAAACCTATATGTAAAATTAAACCAAGAACTCATGATTTTCCCATTCGTACCATTAATTACTGGAAAAAGCTACAGAACGATGTAGTTTGTGCATCATTCCTTAGCAATTTTTAAAAAAAATTAAATGTCATCTATGACATTATTAAATTCTATTCAAATTATACCATCAGATTCACCATTATGTAATATATTCTCAGTTCGAATTAGCTATTTTGCAACTCCTCTTTATTTCTTCTTTTCATTGTTTATCTTATTTCTTTTTCGTATTTTTGTCACTAATTTTCTTCATTTTTTTTTCTATTTGTTATTAGTTATTAATGCAAGCACAAGGCACTTATCGCATACTTGCTTGATTTAATAAGTTTGAGAATAGTGCACTACTAAGAACACTAAAATACTGTAGAATCTCCCAAGCCTCCAGTAGAGGATTCGAGGTTGAGGACCACTTAAACCATCCACAAGAGATGAAAATTTACGCTGCATATCAAGTATAAAAAAAAATAGAAAATATAAATACGCAATCATTCACAAAATATAGTTATATTAGGTTAATAAAAAATATATTATTACTACCTGATATATTCGATATATCGTCTTCACCAAATGACTTTTCCGTGATAGATGCAACCGTTTCAACCGCTGTAGAAGATTCTTCAGAAACATTATGTTTCAGGATTTTCTTAAGCTTTTGTTCTTTTATCAGTTCGCTGTTTATATCAATTTTTTGATCTTTCATTTTGATTTTTCCCAAATTTTCCTTGCTAACGATAAGTCGAGGAGATTTTCTGATAGATTTATCAAAAGATCTGCGTTTCCTTTTTCTAGAAAAGTTAAGTCCAGGAAAGTCTGTCGTATTAGAATGACTATTAAGAACCTTTTGAACTACGGTTTTTCGAGCCGTTTTTCCAACAATGGTTTTTGGCAAAGAATTATCAGTTGATACAGTGAGCCCATCAATTTGTTTTTCATCTGCCTTTGTTCCAATATTTTTAAGACAAGAACTCTCTTTCACAGGCATGGAAAGCCTTGCGCAAACTTCAGTAGATATTTTTTTGGGAAATGCCACAGTTGCAGATTTAGTAGTCAAATTCATAGCTCCAGTTAAAATCTGAAAATCGACAACCGCAGAAAATTTCTGAAAATAAAATAATAAAATAAGTAAGAAATCATGCGAGAGTTCAAGCATTTTAAAAAAATAACTGAAAAAATATTTGAATAAATATATAAATGTTATATCAATTATTTCGGAAAATCAACTAACTATTTGGACCAAATCATAATCAATTTTGTGAGAATAATTCGTTTCATATACTATAGTGAAAATTTCAGCAATTTCTTTCCCATACCCGTCTGGAATAAGTTCCATAACTGACTTTTTAATATTTTTTGAGAAATCCAACTTTTTCTTGAATACCTAAATGTATTTCAAAATTTCTTTTAAAAAGTAAGGCTTCTTCATTTTAAGAACTGAAAATAGAGAATTGCGTTAGAAGTTCCATTAATGAAAACTTTCACTCCATCTCGGTTATCAGTGTATATGTGCTTATTTTATATGGAAATGACCGTGAAACATAGTTTCTATGTGGAAAGTTAACTGCTAATAAGGAAAGGAAACACGACCATAATGGGAAGTTGAAATGCAAAAGATCTAGAAGTGAAAATGGAACTGGAAACTTTCACGGACCAGTCCATATTATGATTTGAGTCAAGATTCGCAGAAAATGACTATATGAAATGAGTTATATGATCCCTATCCCTATTATACTAGGACAGGACATACTGCGACAATTATCGAGGAATCAGCCTACTAGACGTTTCAGCGAAAATTTTGCTTTCCTTTAACCCAATAGAAGTACGAGACAGCAGAATGCGCTCAAGCTGGATTTAGACCGGACGGCGGTTCTGCTGACCAGATATTCACGTTAAGAATGGCGTTGGAACATCGCTTCAGATATTTGTGACCCACTGTCACGTGTTTCATCGACTTTGCAGCTGCCTTTGATTCAACTGATAGTTGATAGAAAGGCGCTTTGGAGGGTGATGGAATGCGACGGTTCCAGAGAAGATTATTCGACTCATAAAGGCACTTTATGAGCGTACGGAGCAGATCTTTGTATATGGGGAACTGACAGACTCCTTCGAAAAAAGAACTAATGTCCGTCAAGGCTGTGTCTTTTACCCTACAATATTCAACTATGCGATAAATTAGGTGAATGGACACCGCTTGTCGGCATTCAAGAAGTGTCCAAATCGGTCCACAGCATCGTATCACAGAACTTGAATATGCGTATGATGTAGTCTTTTTTGCTGACAGTTATGACGAAATGCGAGTAATGCTAAGTAACGTGTCAGAAACTGCAGCAAGAATAGGACTCAGGGTCAATATAAATAAAACGAAAGTGTTTTGAAAGTGAAAAGTCTTATGTAGAAGCTGATAAAATGCCTCTTTTTATAAATTCATAGCGGGTTGAGGCCAATTTTAAATACCTTGGGTCCACTCTAATACCAAATGGTCAGACAAAAAACGATATTACAACCCGCATCACGGTAGCTAGAAATGCGTTCTTCCGGTTGACGAAATCCTTTAAGGAGCCGTCGTGAAATTACCATTAAAACAAAAGTCCGCATCTATACAGCCGTGATTCGTTCGATCTTGCTATATGGTTTTGAGACATGGTCAATGAGAGTGAAGGATATTAAGAAGCTATCTACCTTTGACTCTTGTCTAAAGTACATTTTACGGATTCGTCGAGCAGATAAGATATTACGTAATCGCATCCACCTTTGTTCAAACACCACCTGTATTAATATGTTATCACAGAGCGTCGCCTTCGGTGGTTCGGGCATGTTCTCATCGTTCACCACAACAGTTGTCGCATATTTCGTTACTTGCTAAATCATGGCGTCAAAAGCGAGGTGGGCTAATAAAGACCTGGACTGATACGGTCAGGAAAGATTTTGAACGTATAGATGGACCAGCAATATATGGACTTATACGATGGAAAAAAGAATGGATTCTATTACTGTCGATGATGGCAATAGACCGCTTGGAAGTGCCTTACTCTTGTAGCCTCTTGTAGCTGTTGGAGCCAGCTTAACCATCAATGGTGAAAGCTGTTAGAAGAAGAAAAATCCTTATTATAGTTCGAGTAGTTGATAACTGGAAATATTTCGCCTTCTTCGCAAAGCAACCATACTCAGAATGAGGCTAATGAAAACCGAGATAATGAAAGGGTGGGACTGTAAAAGCTGACAGAAGAAGAGGCTTTTTTGATAATAAATTTGATACTCCAATACTCCAATCCCGATATGCATTCTGAAATTGCAAATGCGATCTGAAATAGGGTAAGAAATAAACTGTCATTCAGAAGCCAATATCAATATCAATTTACTTCCAGCTGATATATACGATCCTACTTCCAATCCTCAAGAATGACAGAGACATAATATAATAATTATTGAGGAATTACGCTACTATATGTCAAACTGGTGCGCATCACAGATACGTTCTCTATGTAGCAGATGTGCAAGTTAGTCCAGGATATAGCATAACATCACAGATTATGAATACCCCGATGGTACAGATTCGATGATCATTTTCAGTAAAAAAAATATGAAGAACTCCAACAAATGCTCGAATATATCGATAACTGGAGAGGAAGTTGGACTTAGATCAATATAGATAAGATGAAATTCTTCTTAAGTAATAAACGCTGATAAGATACTTATTTTAATTCATTACGGGTTGAAGAGGTAAACTTTAAATATCCACTGTTAAATGGCCAAGCGACAAATGCAACCCGTATAAAAGCAAACAGAAATACATTCTTTCGCCTAATGAAATTTCTATGGAATCGCCTAAAATCACCGCCAAAAAGAAAGCTAACTGCAGCTCATACTATCCTGTTACATACAGCCAGTGAGAGTGGAAGATATCAGGAAGCTGTCTCGCTATGAAAATTCTTATCAATGGGTCGAGCAGAATCATATAACTGTTTCTATCTTCGCTTAAACATCTCTTTATTAATAATAATATCGTCATATACGCTATTTAGGCATGTTCTTCGCCCATCACAGGAATCACTGCACATCTCGTTAACTAATCCCTTTAATAAATGACATTAAAAGCGAAAATCATGAAGGAATGCCGCGCTCTTGCAGTCAATATATACAACTTAACCAGTAACGGTGGATAGTTGTTAAAAGAAGTTAAAAGAAGAAAACATTAAATAGAACCTCATCAGAGCTGTGTAAGCTATCCGTCCATGGCAATGAACCAGTAATCCAATACATGAGATTATACAAAAGAATTTCTAAATCAGCACGGAACGATGGATCACAACCTCGATGAGCATCAATTGAAGTAAAAAGCAATGTTCCATTGTGAGCTAAAAATAAAGAATAAATATGCCAGAACCGATGGAAATTTGTCATTCATCATTTAAAAAAGTTATTATTGAAAGTTATTGATAATTTATTAGATTTAATTATTAATTTATTATTTATATTTATTAAAGTTTTAAAAAATTTATAAATTTATAAATTTATCTCAAAATCATCTCAAAGTTTTCACATATAAAGAAATTTCATTGATTATCTGCGAAAAAATTTCAAATATGGAAAAAAAAGTAGTAAAAAAGTGAATGCAAAAAAACTGAAAATTGTTAAAATTAACCTTTTTTTTTATCTGGTTTATCAATATTATTTTTTGCCATTTTAGCCAATCCAAAATCAACCAAGACACAGTTAGCAAAATTCTTTGATGAGCCACAAAGAATATTATCAGCTTTAATATCAGAATGAACATAATTCTAAAATTAACAGAAATGAACGAAAAAAAATTGCGAACTAACAAAAAGTTCAAATTTTTAAACAAGAATCCAAATAAGAAATAATCAATCATTAATTTTTAATTGAAAAATGACTAATCATTAAATCATTAAAACAAGGTTCAAGTAAAAATATTAAATAAAATAATTTTTCTCTCTAATTTGAACATTTAAATATATACTTATTTTATTTCTTCTTTTAATATCATTGACCATTCCCAGATAAGGAATGAGACCTCTTCGGCACAAAAACAATTAGTGACAAAAATTCTCAATGATAATCAGTGACAGTCTGCAGCATGCAGTTCAATTGTTTGACTAATATTGATAGGTTTCGATAGTGATTTTTTTACGAATAAAAAAATGAATTTTTTTGAGTATAATTTAGAGATTCTATAATGAAACCTTCACTCAAAATGATTACCTGTTCTTGCATATAACTGAGGCAATTAGCGCATTGTATAGCGATCTTTAACGCCAATTTTTTCTCAAGTTTTCCACCCGATCTTTTACGAAAGCTTTCAAGAGATTCACCGTATTTCGGCATAATCAAAAAACGCAAAGATTCTTTATTATGTTCAAAAATACCACTGCTTATAAATGGTGGTAATCCGAGATGATCTAATTCTGCAAATGACTAATCATTTATGAAAATATGAAGAAAATAAAACCTAAAAAAAATCTAAAGATTTTTGATAATCTGATTTGATAAAAAAAGTCGAAAAACAAGCTTTTCTTCTGTATCCATTCCTGTAGCATTTCCATCTTCAAAATTCGTTGGAAAACAGTGATTTCTGTGAAAAGTGGTCCATTCGCACAAGGCTCCACTTTAATCACAAGACTTTCTTTTTTGCTATATTTATGTCCATTTATCTAAAATTTAGCCAAAAAATCTTTAAATTGGCGAAAAATTATGAAAGAAAAAAATATTTCTTATTTATTACTCTATCTTTTTGAAAAAAAAATAATGCAAAAAATCATTCTGAAAGAAAAATAAAAGAAAACAAAGAGACGCAAATAATAGGATTATAAAAAATAAATGAGAAAAGATGGAGTGATCGTCCTTGGCCTTGTCACCGACAAAGGGAATTTTTTTTAAATAAAAACTTTATAAAAACTTTATTTTTTATAAAAAAACCTGGTGTGCCGAATAAATACGACCGAAACCACCTCGAGCAAATTCTCTTTCTACAAAAAATTTTTGCTTTCGAGTGTCCGTAATAACTGTTCCCTCGGCGACAATTCCTGCCAATATGTGAAGATTTTTTCTTCTGGCAGAAACATGCTTTGCTGGCATATTTTTTCCGAAAATATTCTTGTAAAAGTACCACTATTTGCTTAGATTAGATCTGCAAAAAAAGAGCAATTTAGCAATTTAGACTTCATTTGCTCATCTGATAATTTTTTTCCTAAAGACAAAACTATAACGTACAAATGGATGTAAATATATTAGACATAGAAATTCAGAGCCTTTCGAATTGATAAGTATAATCACATTTATCTAAAGAGGGTTTAGACTGCGATTAGTACGATTAAATGATTATAAAATAGCATCAAAGGCCTTAGCTAAATAAAGATGGAAAACTGATCAAAAGGCTGGAACCAATTACAGAGATTAACTAACAACTGGGAAACAGTAGATTTTTTCCTACAGAATCCGCCGATAATTGCGAATCAAGTACTTGCTTCAAGAGGTCACTTAATTTAATATTTTACTTGCACAAGTTACACTTATCGGTGTATATTCTATCAAATTTCTAAAAGTTATTGCTGATTTTTTTTTTTAAGCCCTCACCATTACTGGTTAGACTTGCTCCGCTGGCTCATCGCACTAGAAAAATATGCCAGGGAATTGTCGGGCGATAGAAATATAGATAAAGAGAAATACAGACAAATACAGATAAGTAGAGAGCAGCACCGAGTTTTTGGACAGATTTATTCCTGCGGTGAGTCAGTACCGGCGCTCCGAATTGAACCACCTGAGCCATTCTGTGATTTTTTTTAAAAAGCCTCTAATTTTTTTAAAAAGTTATTATTGATTACCAACTAATAAACTTAACGATTCGCTTAATAATAAAGTTTCTACTTAAAAATCAAAAAAAACTTCAAATAAAAAATTTTAAACTAATTTTTTCCACAGAGATTTCAAAACTTTTCGAATTTTAATTGATGAATTGAATAAATTTTGGACAAACATTTATGGAACTTCAACGGAGAATAGTGGGGATTTCGGTGGAGGTGCTGGGGGGTGGGGTTGAGAACAATGCAGGAGGATTTTAGGGGAACTAATGCGTCTTGATGGGGACTATGGTTATATTCGAAGAAAAATGATTCAACCTACCCATAGAGTAAACCGCTTTACAAATGCAAGAACAAAAGGCCTATGATATCTTTAGGAAAACATTCCCAGCGCCAAGCATCTATGATTTTCGCAAAAATAAAAAAATTTCTGTCCTCTGCACTCGATACGCTTTTTAGAATTTTTCGCGACTGCAAAATAGAGTTTAGAACGGCTCTATTCTGTTTCTTTTTTTCAGTCTCTGTGCAGAAAATCATTTATTGAAAATTTTGCGAAGCAGCGGAGGAGATGGCAATCAACTATGGGTTCGCTTCGGACGAATGGAGGTTGGACGTCAGCGGTGGATTCTAAGCCGTGTAGTTGCATTTATATAATATAACATTACATATTTTTTGCTTTTCTGTTTACCCCTTCCATGCTACACGGTATTTGGGCGAGACTATTGTGCAGTTTTTGCTCAGATTGTAACCTCGGGCATCGAAATTTCGTCCGTCAGGAATTAGCTTCTCATCAAAAAGTCTCTGCAGTGTTGTGGGTCTGCTGCAATTCTATCCACGAATGACCCAGAAGTTTTTTCAGGAAAGAACAACCAGCGAGCAAGTGAAGTGAGCTAATCAGAAATGACGCCAACATTTACTTGCCCCACTTATCTTCGTAATGTCTGCCGTCTCATAATTCATGTTATTATTTTTCCTGTCTCTTTTCGATCAGATGGGAGCATCGGCCCTCTAGTAAGTCATAGGAAATCATTTTTAAAAATCTACTTAATATAATATTTTTAATTATTTGATAAAATTACTCTTAGGAATTATAAATCAGAAATCAACGGATCAATGAAGAGTAGAAATAATTCTGGAAAACTATCAACAACCTTGGAAATTACAGGTTTATTTCCGTCAGAGACGAAGTGCATCTTAGCGTGATAATCTGCTATTCACTCGGTTATCTTGTTTGGGAATTCAGTGTTTTTCAAAATTTTTTGCAATTCATCTTCCAATAGTAAATATTAAAGTTTCGTTAGAGACGAAAGATTAGATAAGATTTATTGAGAACAAATGCTAAATGCAGAACGGATTATTGATAAAAAAATGGCCAAAAAGGGAAAGCTGCCAGCATTCGTGACACGTGTTATCTATGTAATGGGAAAGTAGAAAAGACAGAAGCTGAATAGTGATAAGATGAAAAGTTTAATTGGTGATAGCATATGAAGACATCGAAAATATCAAGTAAACATCGCTGCATTATCGTTGGCACTGAGAACCTTCTTGGATAAGGAAATTCAAAACTAAACCATCAGCTAAACGTCAATAAACAAAAGTATGGCATTAAGAATAAGAGAATATCGGTGTATATCCACTGCAATCAAATATTTCATCGGAATATAGAATATAGCGATTTTTTTAATCTTTTAACAGAATGGCCAAGGCTTACAGTATAGAGTATAGATGAGGTGTGAAAGATTTAGCGGAAGAAGAAATAAATAATGAATGAATAAGTAATTATTAATTGATTACAACTGCGATGCTGAGAACACATCAGTGGGGCAAAGCAATCAACAATGGTAAGTACTGAAAAGAAGAATAAAAATAGATATTTAACAAAATAACTTATGTTAATAGAATATTATAGTGTTTAAATTATCATATCGTTGTGTTTGCAATATTTTCTAATAGCATTTGCTATTTGTTCAACCTGAGGGTGGCGACTTTTCTCCAGCAGCACTAACGCTTCCTTTAGTTGTTCTCTAAAAAAAAATTTATTGAATATGTTGACGATAATTTTCGATTACAATTTAGCTTTTTATCAGAGTGATCAGTGTTTCAATGTTTCTTTTTCTAATTGCGCCTACCATATCTGGTTTGGCTAGCTGTTCTGGTTAGGATCAAATAAGCCGTTTCCAAGTATCTTATAATCTGATAATCAGCATATTAAATTAAATTTTTCATTTAATATTTTTTAATTTCCTTATTTAACTGAGGGAGAAGAGGTGGGAAAAGAGGGATAGAGGTGATCGAGTTGGTTCGGTTCCAAATGGTGATGGGCATCCACCTATACTTTTTCTAAAGGCTCTCTCATATTCCGAAGGAATCACTTTTTTTAATAATTAATAGAGTCAGCCAAAAAAGAAATGAGTGAGTGCTGTGAGAAGTGATATTTATCGATGCATAAAATTTAATCTCCTAACTGGCATAAATCGGGCATAATTTTTTAATAAGTTTGAATGATAGTAGTAAATTTACGGAGGTGCTTTTTGTTCTGACACCAATTTGAATAGCCCAACGACTGCTCCACGCTTTCCTTCCCAATATTCTGGATTCGGCTCAATGCGTTCCATCGCATCAAACGCTTTGGCTGAGTAATAATACTCTTCGATCTACAGAAAAATTTTACCTTGGCATATGGGTTACAAAAATTTTTCAAAAAAAAAGCAAAATCGGAAATTTTATAAAAAAAAAGAAGTTAGTTCTAGTTTAGTTTAGGCTCACTCCGCTAGATTGTTTAGAAATTTTTGCCAGCATGAATGAAGAAAGAGAAATAGATTATAATTATTTTTTTTATTTACCTTGTAGCAATCATTTGCTATCATCCGTAAAATAAAAAAGTTTTCGGCGGATTGCTTCATTCTCGTACTTATCTGCCATGCTTGAGCTGCTTTCCCATTAAAAATATCTAAAAATATTTTTAAAATATAAGACTGACCTCACAACCCTTTTTCCTCTATAAACCCATATGCCTGATTAAAATTTTCCTCCTAATAGAATTAGAAATGCCACTATTATGGCGTTGGACGTTCGCTGCTTGCTCACAAGCTTTTATTCATTTCTCTTTTAAAATTTTTAAATTCATCTCAGAGAAGGAGTTTCCTTTAAAATCTGCAATTTTTAGACAAAAATAATTTCCGTGTTGGTTTCAAAGAATTCTAGGAAGTTTGGAAAAAGAAACCAAGTTTATTTTTTTAAATATGCATACATGATCGAGCAAGACTAAATATGTAAGGAAATTGTTTTTTAAGTAGTTCATTAGCAACCAAAAGCAGGCTGGATTCTGCTTCAATGGAATTACCGCATGCTAATAACGCTTGACCAATATTAAAATTGAATATATCGTCATTATAAAAATAAGTCTGAAATTTCAAATTTCATCGAAAAATTTCAATTTTCATCTATTTTTATTTCTTTTTGAAAATGAAATTGAAATCACCTTGATAGAGTTGAGATAAATAAGTACTTTATCAAATTGTTCCATCAAGAAATAAGCTGATGCCATAGCTTGACGACCTGCGATCGTATCTGAAATTTCTATTGGCTTATTGGTCTGGAAATATTCATTGGAAATATTTTTTAAAATTTGCCATTCCTAAATAAATATCAATAAAGATGGCTTCATTGGTCTTCCACACTTTTGAAACCATTCATCACAGTGAACAAGATATGGGACAATTCTTGAGCGGTGCGTATTGCAACCATAGATGTGAACTTTCGTTTTGGTGATTTGCGACGATTCGCCAGGGCATAAGAACTCATTCCTAGTTAGCCGACTAGTTTTCATTCGATCATCTAATATAAAAATGGATTCAATATTTAAAGCTTGGAAATGATCAAATGATCGAAATGATCGAAAATAAAAAAAATAATAGTAAAACGATAAGTATTCATTGAAAAAAAAGAATTCATAAAAAATTTTAAAAATTTAAATTTAAAAAAAGAATAGTTTTTAACAAAAGTTTCCACATCATAAGTGGTCAACAATATGCAAATCGTACAAATTGTTTTTTTTTTTGTCGCGCATCTGTTAGTTAATTTATAAACCATCTTATTTGCATATCAAAAAACTGTGAGAAATATCTGTGAATGTTTTTTAAGCCGACCCACATTGCCAATGTATGGCTTCCAACTGGGATTATTTTTTATTTTGGATAAACTAACGGCTGGCTTTCACCTATATTCACCGTATTCAATAACCACTTTCCTTCGCCAATATTCACGTTTTTTTTATTAACCACGTTCCAATTTTTAATTCCAATTATTTTGTGTTAAATAATTATTTTATATTTTATATTGTAAAATTGTATTTTCTAATAAATATTTTTATTCACTGTCGCAAGTGCATGCACATTCTTTTTCCGATAGCTTTGCACTTTCTGAAATTATAATATATTGATGAAAATAGGAGTTTCATCAGCGTCTGATATTTGGCTTTTGACTTATTTACGTTGATCCTTAGTTCAGTTTTATAGTTATTTAGCATCTCTTGCTTTTTTTCATAACTGCACAAAGGGCTACGTCATCACAGCATATTCAAAATTTGTACATTATGCTCTGGATTAATATGTACAAATTTTGCGTGCCAATAAGCAGTATTCTATATCATAATCGATTATTATAGAGTAGATTATGCAGTCCTAACGGATTAATTTTGAAATGGTTTGTCACTTCCCACATATAGATCAGTTCTATTGTTAGGCTTCATTGGTTCCCCTCACTTTTCAAGGAATCCATCACAGTGCTTATTAAAATGCCTTTATGAATCGAATGATCTTTGGAACACCTTCACATTCCATAATTCTCTAGAGAGCTACCATATCAGTGGAATCAAAGATAACGACAAAACCAATGAAATAAGTAACGGGAGATTATTTCAAGCGATGTCCAACATCCTCTTTAACGTGAATATTTGGTTATCACACCCAAACCTGTCTTAATCCAACTTGATTAAGACACAATTTTCTGCAGAGCAGAAGAGGAACAAAAATATTTTCAGTTGCTTGGTAGATTTTCAGTAAATCTTACCATCCTTTCTTGATGACTGGGAGCTACTGGGAGATTACTTTGTTGCAGTATTAATATCTGGTATTAATATCTGGTATACTTTTTTCTATATCGTTTGCATTTGTTGAAGATGAGGTATTTGGAAGATCATTTTCTCCGAGAGTTTTATTAGCCTTAAGCTATTGAATGAAATTATTTTTTGCGATTCGCATATTGTTCATTTAAACGATCTCTGGGCATTATACGAGCATTTAAACGGTCTCTGGGATGATAGATTGTGCATCATGGTTAAGATTAATCTCAATTTCAATAATTTTTGATAATTTCAATTCCAATAACGATTTTTATTCAGCTGTTGTTATATGTTTTCAAACTTAGGTCATTGCTTTGGAGACCTAACTGGCATATCTTAGTGTGGATATGGAAATCGGAGTTTTAATTGTGATAATATATATTATCGACAATCCCTGAAGAATCGTTGAAATTTGCATCACTGAATTATTTCGGTCTGTGCCTTAGGTCAAAGGCATTTTATTCAGTCCTTCCTAAGAGCCACAATAATATAGCCAGTATCCTTGCTCGGAGTTGTATAACTGCGCGAGAAGAGAGGAAGACAAACATGCAATAAACAATGTGATGTCCACACGATATTTGGAGAGAATATGAGGGATGATCGCCCGATTCCCAATATCCGTTCTAATGCTGCTATGCCTAAGATCTTGTTTTTTTCAATTGTATATTGTATAAAGTACGGACAGTTGTTTTTTCACTTATTAGATTACGACTTATTAGATTGCCCTGGCTCAAGAGCTTATTTTAGTGTGGAATCTTAGAACAATTTTACATGTCCCGGTTTATGCATATCCGAATATGAGCTATAAGCTATTAACTCATGGAAATAGAAAAACTGAAATTTTACTTAAAATTATTAAGATAGAAGAATTAAGAATTAAACATTCGATATGGTTCAAATGTCATATCAAATGTTTAATTCTTAATCGTACAGTAAACAAAACCGTACCAAGTGCTACAACCTGAATTTAAAAGAAATCAATTTAAATTAGCCCTAATGGTCTGAAGTTACTAAATCTTATTTGTGGAACTAAACTAAGAGGTCATAACTTTTTCGTTTATACTATTAACTACTGGAACAAGTTGTCCTATGATGTGGTCAACCCGTCATCGCTGCATTGTTTTAAAAGAAATTAATCAGATAATATTAATAACACTATATAATTTTGTCGCAACATAAAGGTTAAGATTTTCGTTGTGACGAAATAATTTAACGTTTTTATGCTTTTCTTATGTTTATTATTTAATTTTGTAAATTCAAGCGCATGGCAAATGAACAGTAATTTAATCTACAGATTCTAAATAATTTATATAAATTAGTGGCTATTTGTCGTTAGGCTTTTATAGTGAGAAATTTTTGCCAGAGAGATACTTGAATATTATAAGAAAATCCCCATAACCATCATATGTGGTTATTTATTTTAGCCGGAAGCAGCTCCTAAATCTTCTCTCTGCTCGAGACAAATGATAGCATCTTACCTCAGTACAGCTTAATTGATGTATCTATATATTTATTCTGATGATTATCTCAGTGAGTTAATAGCTATTATCCTCATTAATTATTCATTCTCTGAAAAAAAAATGGACTAGAAGTCAGCAGGTTCTATACTTCAGTGATTGCTATTTCGATGAAAGGACTGAAAAGGAGAAATAATATAAAACAAAATTAATTTACCGCATTCAGCTGCTGATTCTCCAACTACTTTGAAATATTCTCTTGCTGTTTCCAAATGTTTATTCTACAAAAATCAGTATTATTATCATCTATCGAGCGATAATTAGAAACCTTTTTAAATGATTAAAAATTTGGAATCTGCATTTTTTTAAAATTCGCCAAAAATAAGTATAGTCGGATGGCATGTTGTTTTGACAAAGAATAGGCTCAATTCGTGCCTCTCGGAAACAAAATTAATATGCGGCTAGCGATGAGCACCTACTATCTTTTTATCTCTAAGGGATTTGCCCGAAAAATTCTCATTATGAAATGTTAGGAAAAGAATCAAGACACTTTATTATTATTCCTAATCATTCTCGATGAAATCGATATAAATAATTTATTAGTGACCATAAAATAAATTACCGAAGATTTCTCATACCCAGTAATGCAGTAAGTGATTGCCTTCAACAAATATTCCTGAGGGGTTTCAGCTTTTAAACCAATCGCCAAATTAAAAGCTGACTGTACGTCGTCTGAATTCTTCATTACATAATTTTAAAATTTAATTAAGATATTAAGTCTTATCAATTGATACCTCGTTTCAAATGGAAAATAATAAGATTCAATCTTGCTTCTGGTATATTCTCGATGAGCGCAGGTAAGATTTGCAATGCACCGTCACCATCACGAAATACAACCTAGAAATATCAATTTTCTCGACTTTCAAAAACTATTCGGCTATAAGAAAATGAAGTGTTGAAATATTGGAAGGCAGGATATCCTTCCATTGACTGCATGATGATACTATCATTTTGAGAGCTAAGGTTCCTGCTCCTCTCTTCGACGAAAAACCTGTTATGACCTGTTATTAAAAAATCCAACTGGTACTACTAATAGTACTATTACTAATCCGCCTGCATTTATCGGTAAATCTCTGGCAATTTCCAACCAGGCAACTATTTAATTAATAGCATCGACCACATTTTTTATTTTCTTTATTTCTGATATTATTATTTATTTATTATTATTTTATTTTCTTATTTATTTACAAAAATGATAATTTTTCGTGTCCAAAATTAGGCAGCGAAAGGAAATAAATAAGTGGTTATAAGTGGTTTTTGAGTTACCTAAGTGTGCTGGTTACAATTAAGAATTTTTACCGAAGAATTAGTCACTTGGCTAGAAAGAGGGTTTTTGCCACCGTCATCAGGGTTTTCTAGTAACAGGGTTGGGCACAGGAGCTGAACCTTTGCTTTTCAACGCCATTATCTGAACCATCACTTTATACTGCGTTCTTTCACTCTCATTATTTTTTTTACTAAGAAATTATTTGGATATTTCATATTGCATGGAATTTTCTATTCTCTCTTTTCTTCTTTTGACTTTCATTATTTCTGGTTAGGCTAGCTACGCTGGCTACATGGATAAAATCTTTTCAAACTGTTCGACCCAGCGCCAACACTAATAGAAGCCTTGGTGCCATCCAAGGCTCAGCTCATAGAGTTTAGCAATTAACGAAATATGTCTCTTGAGGATGAGGAAGAACGGGCCCTAACCAACGAGCGACCTTATATGATGGTATTGTTAATGCAAGTGGTATTTGAGTGGAAATGAATGCAGTCATATGGTTATCAGATTTTATCCGCTCGGCGTATTCCGTAAAATATATTTTAGACATATATGATCAAAGGCAGATAATATCCTCCAGATATCCTCTTAATATTCTCCTCCACTCTCATTGGCCATGTTTTGCAACCATATAGCAAGATCGAATTGCAGCTGTATGGACGCGCACTTTCTCCTTTATGGTAATTTCGTTACAACTCCATAAAGGTTTCGTCAACAAAGAACATTTTTGGCTATCGTTGTTCGAGTTGCAATTTCATTTTTCGCTTAACCGTTTGGGATTAGAGTGGGCCCAAGGTATTTAAAATCGGGCATTGAATTTATAAAGAGAGGCATTTTATCAGCTTCTTGCATATAAGACGAAAAGAGTTTCTTTTTATTTAACATTGATCCTGAGTCCGCTTCTCGCTACAGTTGCTGACATGTTAATTAGCATTACTTGCATTTCATCATAACTGTCAGAAAAAAAGACTACATCATTAGCGTATTCAAGATCTGTGATACGATGCGCTGGACTGATTTGGACACCTCTTGAGTGCCGACAAGCGGTGTACCATTATCCAGTCTATCGCGCAGTTGAATATTGTAGGGGAAAAGACACAGCCCTGACGGACACCAGTTCCGAAGGAGTTTATCAGCTCCCCATATATATATCTGCGCCGACGTGCGCTCATAAGATGCCTTTATGAGTCGAATAATCTTCTTTGAAACATCGTCGCATTCCATCACCCTCCAAAGCTCCGCTCTATCAATTGAATCGAAGACAGCCGCAAAAATCGATAAAACCAGATAAAGGTGGGGGGTAGATATTTGAATCGGTGTTTTAACACATTTCTTATTTTCGCTCTATTTTCACCTTTCTATTTTCAATTGTCATTAGAACTTTTTCAAAATGTAATGAAATTTAAAAAATGAAAAGAGTACCAAAAAAGTGATGGTTTAAGCCATGGCGCAGCCGTGAGACATTTATAAATAAAGGAAATTTGAGGAGGATTAGGAGGAAAACTTTAAAGATTAAAAAAATAAGCAATTTGGTTTCTTTCCATATTGTGACATAATAAAAAATATAGAAATAAAAAACCTTTATGAAGTCGTCATGAAATCACCATAAAAATAAAAGTCCGCATCTATATAGCCGTGATCCGTTCGATCTTGCTATATAGTTCTGAGACATGGCCAATAACAGTAGAGAGTGGATATTAAGAAGTTATCTACCTTTGACCACACTCGTCTAAAGTACATTTTACGGATTCGTCGAGTAGATAAGATATCACATGATCGCATCCATTTTCGTTCAAGTACCACTTATGTTAATAAATTTATCACAGAGCACCGCCTTCGCTGGTTAGGGCACATTCTCCGTCGTCCACCACAGGAGTTGACGTATATTTCGTTACTTGCTAAACCGTGTAATGGTTGGCTTCAAAAGTAAGGTGGGCCAATCAAGATCTGGACTGATTCAGTTAGAAAAGATTTTGAACGCATGGGTGGACCAGCAATATATGGACTTAGACGATGGAAAAAGGAATGGTTTCTATTACTGTCGACGATGCATCAGATCACGCCGCTTGGAAACGGCCTTATCCTTGTAGCCGTTGGAGACAGCCTAACCAATAATGGTGAGAGCTGTTAAAAGAAGAAGAAGAAAAGCCTATTTTAAGCCTATTTTCCTTTAGAATTAATAAATATGAGAATTAATAAATACAAAAATAAATATGAGAATTATAGTAGTATAGGTAATAAATAACCCTTATTTTAAGATATCTTCTTGCACCTCTTTAAAAAGCACTAGCCAGAATATACCTTTTCATCAAATCCAAAAAACATGAAATGTCATGCGAAATTTTCAGTTTAAAATCTTAATTAAACTTTTTTTAATGTATCAAGAAATAGTACCAGTTATAAAGCACCATCATTTTTCTACTATTAATTCGTAATTGTTCACTTCGAGCATCACAAGTTTGATTCCACGCTTCAATAACAACAAACTTATTATTAAAATCGGGCTGATCCACCCCTATGTCTCTCGCCGACTCTGTAGTGAAAATTTCTAATTACTATGGTAATATACAACGAAGCTGGTCTAACCAGAAATGGTGACCGCATAAGCCTTATGTGATTATCCTTTTTAAGTCATAGTCGATTCGAAAAAAATTCATTGAGTTCGTTGAAGTAAAAAATTCCTTACCAAATTATGGGAAATAAGATCTTTGATTAAGAGAAGCGAAGATGTGTAGTCTTTAAACGCTCTTAATTCTTTTTGTGCTGTTTTGCCATTATAAAGCTTATATTGGTTGCATGCTTTCAGATTTAATGCTATTGGACTTTCGGGATAACTACTCAGGTACACCTGAAGTACTTCCTGGAAAATGTTTCATCTTATTTTACACTCAAGTCAATTTGGCCAATTGGTAATGTAATGTAATAATATAAATGCTAATGAATATTAATTACTGGCTATACTGGCTAAGGAGCGGCTGAAAAAAACATTTGAAAAAAACTCTTCGTGGTACGCTCTTTGGTTACTTAAATTTATTCCTGGAAAAAAGCTTTCATTTTAATTTCAAATTGATCTAGTTTTATAATTTTGAATAATCGGGAATATTGAAGCAGCATGGAAGATAAACTGGGGATTTGGCAGGGTGAAATTAAAATGAAAGCTGTATCAGGACAAAAAGGAGTGTTAAAGGAATACAACGAGATCTGAAAAACTATCTGTTAATGGATACTGAAAAACTATCTGTTAATGGATACTGTGAAGACAATATCAACCAAGAGCAGAATGGCGATCATCTTTACTTTTTGGTACTATGTTTTAATGCTCGAAAATATTTGTGCATAAAATTTTATGCTAAAAATTCTATATGTCCACAAAACTAGCTTTTTTAATCTTTAAGTAACTCGAAAATTTCAGGAGTAAAATGCATCTTACTTGTGATATATCATAGTAGTCCAGTTTATAATAACACATCGCCAAATAAACATTCAGTGCTATGAAGTTTCTAAAATTTCTTAAAACTTTTATTGGTTTCTTTATAAACGGCATTAATCTAAAAATCTATTTTATAATCTTTTTTGACTCCACACTCTGATATATGAAATGCATTTCAATTAATTTTAATGCCTCTGTTATATTTTCTATGACTGCAAAAAATTACTTGTTTTTTAATAAAATTCCTTTATAAACATTTAAGGCTTCCTGATAATGCGAGCGAAGATAATGAATTGAAGCTAAAGATAGCTGGTCATCGACAGTGTCGCAAAGTTGGCTGTGGTAATGCATTAACTGTTTCTCATCGCCGATTTTATTAGAAACATGGAAAAAAAGGCGATTCTGTAGAGGGCTTTTTTCTCCTAAATATTAAAAAATTATCGAAGTTGCAAAATTCACTTTACCCATTTAATTTCAACTAATTTATTCAGTTTTAGGACCTAAACTGCAATCAAATATTTGCGATCTAAAATAAATAGAGGTACTATAGTCATGTGCTTTTGATTTGTTGTGAAGAAATGGAATGCAAGCATCACGATTTAATTCCTGCCACTTGAATTGTAAAATTTTTTCATTTAAAAGAAAGATCCACTTGTATTTCTAGCCCCAAATGACTCCAGTACTCCATACAGTAAAGCAAACTAGAAACGGTGAATGCGAAAAAGCTGCTAGAGCAAGTTGTCATTTAAAAAACCTTTTACGGCTTGCTCCTTGGATTCGGGATACATTCCAAGAAAGAAATAAATACATGCCATGTAAACATTAATTTCTGGAGGACAATCGCTGTCTTTCAGCATTCCTTCGTAAACCTCAAAGAAATGAAAAAAAATTGAAAAATGTGAAAAACATAGGGATTTGTCTAGAATAACTTGGATGTCGCTCACCACTGGTTGTTAATTTTGCTGAGACAAGACAATTTTGAGTCAATTGATAATAAAAGTAGTACAAATGAGTCGCCAGCATTATCCGGATTTTTGAAGAAAGTTTTATTCCTCTCCGGCGTTTCCAGCTGAGCAACCCACTTCAACAGTCTACTACTTTTTGCATTTACCGTTCGGCGAGTTGCCGTCAAACAAAACGAGTGTCTTGGTCGGATTCGAGCCCGAGACATTTTCGGTTCAACCATCTTGCCACTAAGCCCATCATCCATTATTATCGAGTGATTTATTCCTTTGGAGAAGAAATTAAATAATAAATAAACAGTAAGATAATTCGTTATTAGTTGCTGTATGCGTATCTCTTATACGCTTATTTTTTCATCCCTTTAAAACGCTTCTCCTTGCACTCTTGCTATATTAGTGTTTGGGATTTTAACCAGATGCTTAAATTTGCCTAGATTCAGTTCCTCATCTCTGCGATCTTTTCCTTGACGTTTTTTTCAGTTCATTAAAATTGCCTTTGAATTTATTGCACTCATTTGTATTATTGCTTCCTTCCCTTCTGTATTTTTTTTCCTAATGCGTTAATGATGCCGATTTAAACTTCTTTGTGGTTTGTGGTTTCTCTTAATATTTCTTCAAGCCTTACTACAAAGGCTTACAGGTTTCTTCATCTTGAACCCTTGATTCTCGCTTATTAATCAATCTGGTTAAAATACCGTAAAAATATTCCTTCATACATTATTATTTTAATTTTTTCTATGAAACTTTTTTTTTCACTTTTCTGGCTATTACAACCCTTTATTTAAATTTTAATGTTAGAAATTATGAGTATAAACTGTGGCTACTGTAATGCAGTTAGGATAAAAAATATGAGAAGGGAAATCTTGAATGAATATAATGAGAATTGGTACAGAAGAGAAAAAAGTGTGATATGAAGGATATTAATGGTATATAAATTGGATGTGATGGGTATTAAAAAAGAACGCCGAGAGGAATATTTCTAAAAAGTTTGGAGGTGCATGAAGGGGAATGAATTTCATTTATTCATTTAGCTTCATGGAATTAATTTTTGCAAATCTTGCTTTCATTATCCACACTAATCATGATTTTTAACAAGGCGAATTTCGCTCGTTTTTTCATTTGTTTGTTAAAAGTACTAATATATAAACGAGAATGCTTCTAACAAGAATAGGAAACAATATCATCTTATGTATATTTATCTATAGGACAATAATATCATTTATCTATTTTTGGCAAGCGATTATATTTTATTCATAATGAAAAATGGAGAATGACAAAAAGAAATAATTTTAAGAAAAATACCTCTAAAGATTTTTTATATTCTCCGGCATGAAAAGCGCAATATCCAAGCCACAAATTTGTCAATTGACTGATTGGACGAAACTGCAAGATTTGTGGTCGAATTTGACAAACACAGAATTCATCAGTTCCTCTTTTCAAAATTAAATCGAGAAAAAAAGGATTGAGTAAATTTATGAACATTTTTTTCTTTGTTAAATATCAGAAATAGGTAAAATTATAAGCAACTTTATACCTCGAGAAGAGAGATGGCGCCGGAATAATCCCTTTTTGCCAGAAATTCATCCAACTCTGGAAGTTTTTTATACTTCATCTTTTCTTTCTTGTTATTGAATCGTGCACGAGATAAAAGCTAAAATAAATTCATTTCAGTAAAATATTTATCAAAAAGTGGAACCTTTGCTGTTGAAATAAATATGGATAAATATAGATCGAGTGGCTTATTGCTAAGTTCAACAAGCGACATGGGTTTTAAAGTCTGTCTCTTGGATCAAAATATTGGGATTCAATCATCCCAGTAATTACGAATTGCAAATATCAGGTAGGACTAATAATTTGTCATAAATCATGAGAATTTCGTTTGAAGTGCCAAAATTATTAAAATATAATTAGGATTAAGATATATAGTTTTCCTGGATAAAGGATAATGCACAGCTTTCAAAGATTTCAGAACAAGCATTATTATGGATTTACAGAAGGCTTTAAGTTCGTTTCTAGGATGTATTACACCCTCTAAAGAATGTCTAATAAATACTATTCAAAAGAGGCTTACCATTTTTCATTAATATAGCAATATATGTCTCCGATACTATGAAAAAAAATTGAATTGCGCAGTTACCCTTAGCAACACATCGAATGCTCGTGCACATTTCGAGAGAAATATCACAGAGACCACGATTTGTTACTGCAATCATTAAAGGTTAAATATTTTAATTACGCTTACGCTTAATTACCATTACGCTTAATTTTTTTAACTTATTTAATTTATTTGTCTTCTAGTGGTATTCACCATTTTCTGTTTGGCTGTTAGGACCCCTTTCCAAAGAGTCATTTAGAGAGAAACGAAGGCTAAAGAAGCCAAAAAGAAGTCAAAGATGATAAAAAATTAACAAACTGTTTGAAAGAGCCATTTAGAAAAGATAAGAAAAAGATAAAAAAGACATGGTAACCAGTTAAAACAAATCATAAATGGAAATAGCGTGCTGAAATACTACGATGATAGCTATGATATGTGCTAACTCGTTGCTAACTCCTAGTGACCATATAAATAGAGGATCTTTAAAATCCTAGCGTGACCTTTCACAGATATCATATGCTCGATTCTGTAATTAAATTTATTCACCTTGATGCAGATCCTCTTTCGTCCTCTTTTTATCTTTTCTTGCCATTCTCAGATCTTTTTCCAGAGAACTGAATCTTCGCATAATAAATCCAAAATAGGACAATTTTAGGTCAGTTGTGGCTCGAATGAAAACTTCGGCTTTTTTGATGCATCGTTTTCTTTTAGATTCCACGACATTCTCAGGAATATTTTTTTTCCAAAGCTGAAGTTCAAATGCATCCATCCTCTTCCTATCCTGCTTCATTAAAGCCTAAGCCTCGCTTGTTATAAGGAATACCATGGCTTGCATGATCTTTCTGCCTAGTCATATTGCATATAAATATATTTCTCAAGTCCTTCGTGCCCGTTTTCGTCCCAACTAATCTGTGGCCGACTTCTTAAGTGATTGTACCATTATTGTTGATGGTTGAATTGATCCTAAACAGCAAAAACCATCTACAACTTCGATATTGATTGATATATATTGATACTGATTGTCAATTCTAAATCTTGTACTATCCGTTATCATTAGATAGTCTTTTTTATATTTAGCTTTAGTTTTTTTTTTCATACTTTTGGTACCAAAGCTTGGAAATCCCTTATATCCTCGTCTATCAGATTTTTTTCTCCAGTTTTAAAATGCTTATCTCAGGTTGTTTCCTCCAGATCCGCCTTCAGCTTCCCTTAGTATATTACACCTTATATATTTTGCAGAAAAATTGAAATAGGAGGAGAGTGAATATCTTTGTTGCAATTCCAACTTGAATCCAGGTTGTTTTGCCACATTCTATTTGTGCTTCTATTTTCCTGCTCTATTTTTAAGGAGGAAAACTACGATTCTGGAACTCCTATTTTTGAACGCATTCCTATAGTTATACTTGACTAAAGCTATCAAAGACTACAATCGATTTTCTATAATCGATGAAACACATGTGCTTCTTTTTAGTATAGCATGTACCTCATGTTTCTCAGCATTTTCTAAAATCAGCTGGAACATCTGGCATCTCTTTCTCCATTCACGGTTCTGCACTGGATGATCCTAAGCAATATTTTGCTAACAATTTAAACAAGAACATTACGAATATAAATGCGTAAGGAAAATTAAGCATACGATAGTTTGCACTTTCTATTATGTCTCTTTTTTTTGGTAATATAAATTGATTTCATTCAATCAGCAGGTCAGTGTATTCGATTTGCTGTCCTAGTTAGAATCTTGATTAAATCTTTTTCAGTTGCTTGCCAAATTTCACTGAGTATTCGATCAACCACAATAGTTTTTCGATATCTTGGGTATTATCAACTGTGCTATATAATATTTCAGTATGTTCCTTTGATCTGTTTGTCATCTATCCATTAGTGACTTTTACTATACGTCCTTCGAAGTTCAGAAACCGTTTGAAAAACTTTTCTCTCCTTCTCCTTCTAACATTACTCTCAACATTACTGATTAGGCTGGCTCAGCTGGCTACAAACACAGGACGTCGCTAAGCTGCTCAGCATGACGTCACTAGTAGTAATGGAATCCATTCCCTTTTTATCACCTAGTCCATATATCGCTGGTGCCCCTGTATCAACCCAGGTCTTGACTGATTTTCTTGGCTTTTGGCGCCAATCATCACAGGGTTTAGCAAGTAATATAAAATATGTGTCAATTCCTGTGGTGGATGACGGAGAACGTGCTCTAACTAGCGAAGACGACAATTTATGATAATTTATTGATACGGGTGGTGTCTGAGCAAAGACGAAAACCTTTCGTTTTATTAACATTGATTTTGAGTCCAATTCTCGCTGCAGTTGTTGGCCCTCTCAAAATTTTTATCAAGTCCCTTTTTGAATTAATTTTTTATATTTCTTGATTCGTTTCTTCTCATTTTGTTTTTACGGTTCTTCGAATATCCAACTTGCTTTCTTCATTTCTTTTATTATTAACAATCCTTAATAATTTTTATGTAATAATTTTAATTTTTATTTAATCCTTAATAATTTTTAATATAATGTTTATTTTTCAATCCTTAACACTTTCCTTAAATAATTCCATAATTCCTTTGGTTCTATGCATAAGATTCAGAGTTTCGAAGCGATAACCTCAAAGGTGATAACCTAATATATGTTTAAGATGCAATACTAGGGAAACTGATTGACTTCAGTTTTCTTTCTAGTTTAATCTGAATATTACACATGATCACTTCCATAATTAACAAACAATCTGTCGATTTCGAATTTGATTACAGAAGTTATCGTCTCTGCAGATGGGGTAAAAATTTAAATGGTATGAAAAGGATGTTCACGAAATCTAATCCATATTAGTCGGTCACTAAGTGCATTGTTGCCAAGAACTGGCCTTGTCATACCATTGTCAATGATGCATCATCATTTTTTTTTTGTTTTTCATATGTTGAATTATAAATGACGTAATGTTCTGGCTGAAAATGCCCAATCACAGGTTCATTTAAATTCGCTGATGCCTAAGATATCTAATGCCTAATTTTTAATAGTTTCATTTTTCTGCAAAGTTTTATATCCAAGAGGCCATAGATGATATCCTTACTCACAAAAACCTCTAATATTAGTTAATTGAGCACTCCAGTCTTTATCAAGTCGAAAAGCTACTGGAGTTGATGGAATATAACAAGGTGACTAGTGGAATTTTGCAGACAATAGAAGAAGTCACCAAGGTTCTAATTAGATCATGCTGGCAAATCTGGAGAACTAAAAGCTAACCAATTAACATAATGCACAAAATATCACATTCTTCACATGCTAGCAAAATTATGCTTGAAATTATCCACTGCAGGTTAGAGCCTTATAAGAAGAAACAGACAGGTGTCCAAGCCGATTTTCGAAAAGACTGTGGACAAGGCATTACTGCAATATTATATTAAAATACTATTAAAACACTTCTGATTTATGAAGGCTTAATATCTTAAATTGCTGATATGCATTGGATAAATGAAAAAAGTCAATTTTATGCTTCATTGGCTATAAGAAAGCCTTTGATTTGTGTCGACTATCATAAGCTGTGGAACGTGCTCAGAACAGTGGCAATCCCAGAACATCTCATTATCTTTATGAGAAACTTATATGCAATAAGATACCGTTGGCAAAACAACTGGCAGATTGCTAAAGGAGTGCGACCAGGGTATTATTTAACGGATACATGGAATACATATTAGGATAGGCTGATTTGGAGAAATATAAAAGTGCTTTCAGAAGTGAAGGGAGAAGCATCAACAATCTATTTGATGGGATCTCCAAGTCTTAATTTTAAAAGGCAAAAAATACAGCGAAAAAATGGGACTGAAACTAAACACAAATATAAAACTAAGAAAACCAAACTGATGGCAACAGGTTGATGAAACAGCTTTAGAATCAATAATTAGTACATCGAATTGGTTCATGGTTTCTACTTTTTATGACCATTAGCAATAAATAAAGATACGGTCAAAAAGCACGCCGTAGATTAGCTCTGAGAAGAGCGTTCACGAATACGGGGAGATATTCAAATTCCGATTATGCATGCAAAAATTAGAATTATACAAGCAGTAGTTAGGTGCGAGACTTAGCTTTAACGAAGCAGAATAGGGAAAGAAAAGAAAAGAATTGCTTCGATGGGAAAAGAATTCCGTGGACAGTCAAGAAAGCAAACTGTTGGATCATCGAACAAATCAAAGCGAAGTGCTCATTCGCTGAAAAGGCTAAAATTATCTTTTTTGGATATATTATGCGAAGACCTCTGGAAAAAGAGTAAGAATACGTCTAAGAATACGTATACGGAATGGTATACGGAAAGATTAAAAGAGCGTGCAAAAGAGCGACAACGTGCATCAAAATGGATAGATTCAGTTGAAGTCGAGCGTTTTTCTGATGGTTTGGAAAGATCGAGCCAGGGACAAATTATCTTGAAGTATATATTCGAAGTATATATTCATCATCGAAGTATATATTCGCTAAGTAGAAACGGTTTGATGACACAATCGTCACCAGTCATACTTGCGGATAGAAGTACAGATAGATCTCTAGCATCATCTTTATTAATAATTTTCTATCACCAAAATCCAAGATCGAGCCTATGATGGCCCAATCATAATCAGAACAAAATGTCATTCAAGTATTCTATCACTTATATTTGTTATTTGTTATTTTTTCCACTATTATTTGTTATTTTTAATTGATTTGTTAAGATTAGAATGCATAAAAAATTGAATAATAGTTTTATCGCTAATTCATTGCTTTATGAAATAAATTATTTTCAGATATCTTATAATTCAGTTCTTATTAATACTGAGTCGAAGGAACGAAAAAAATTAATATTGTTTTCAGAGCGCAAAAATAAACTATGAACTAATTATTTTTAAATCTGTGAATCAAAGGATCTTCAAACCATAGTTTTAAAAGTTACAGCGAAAAAAATGGGACTAAAACCAAGTACGAACTATAAGCTAAACTAAACTACGAAGGCTAAACTAATATCAAATAGATAGAACAGTCAGCCCAAGGACAATCGAAATTTCTGCTTTTTCAGGATCAACCATCAACAATAAATATTCTGCAGATTAGCAGACATGAAGACTTTGAAAAATAATATTTAAATACCACAATGTGATTATGCATTGAAAGATTAGAATTGGTTTTCTTTATAACTCTGTATGGATGAGAGACTGAAGCTTTAACGAAGCAGATAGAAAGATTAGAAGCATCTATAATTGTTTAATCCTAATGGGCAATAATTTAGCTAAAGAATGATGAGTATTGTAGAAAAGAAAAGTAAGTGAAAAGTAAGAGTGAGTAATTAGAAAATAATTAACGAACAAATTTCTCAATTGTTGGTAATTGAGATCTTCTTGCTTTTTGCTGTTTGCAGTGATTAAAAATATGATTGTCATTATAATGAAGAGTTTAGCCCTAAAAATTTTGTCGATTCATATCAGATTAGCTGAATGATCTTTACTTAGATTATCGTTTGGAGCACAATGACTAAGCCGCTGCCTCCGAGAAGAGCTCATTAATAAATTCAGATGATGCTGGGGATGCCCTGTATTTCCTAAATAATTTTCTGAAAAAATTTTTCCATACTTTACAGCCAATGGAAAAAGCATTGCCAGAAATGATGAGTGTTAAACACCTAATTATTTCTTATATCACTTATATCACAAATTATGAATAAATAGTTCCAAGCTGTGGTTGAATTAATATAATTGGTTCGATGAAAAGAAACAAATTTCAGACAAGAAATATTTCAATATAAATTAAAATTCTATGAAAATCTTTCATTAATATACAAATTTTTTCGAAAAGCTATAGAAATTTCACAAGAATGGAATTTTAATGAAAAATATTTAGGTTCTTCAGATTCCTTCAGAAAAAATTAATTAATTAATTCTTTAATCAATTTTGCTTAATGTATTCACAACATAATTGCCGATTAAAAAGCGATATCGGATAACAATTTTATATTTTTCATTAATTTGACTGGAAAATATGAAAATATTAATTAAGCCTTTAAACAAATCGCCACTATACTGTATTGTATTAAGGTGTATTAAAATGTGCTGTTGAAACGAAGTGGGTGACCTCTATGAGCGGTTACGTTGAAAAGGCGCTCTACTCATTAATCAATAAAATTAAAAAAATATTTTTTTTTAATCGCTATATTATCATATTATAATATTATCATATAATTTATTTATTATTATTTATCATCTACGAATCGGAAAAGTTTTTTTTTTTCCTTTATGATATCATCTCTAAACTTATCTTTTAAATTTAATTTAATTATCTCTATCCTCTGTCTTTGAAAAAAGTAAATCAGCAATAATATCAAAAATGCGGACCCACTTGTATCTCTATTCTCAAGTGACTCTATGATAAAAGGGTCAGGTCTCTTTGACACGACGCCCACGTCTCACGACACGCATGTTACTTCCGACTCGGTTGTACATGCGATAAATACCAGCCAGGCGCTATCGTATAGTAATAATGATGAAAGTCCAAGGCACAAGCACAGAATTTGCCCGCGAACTAAAATAAGTAAGTACTCAAAATCAAAGGAGGAGTGAACCTATTCTATAACACTTTTTAAGCGCGGTGAGGTTAGCTATAGCTGCTTGGAACATCAGAACGCTTATGGATATTGCAAACCAAGCGATCACTGTCAATACTCTCTCTAAATACTGCGTAGATGTGGCCTGTTTGTCGGAGGTCCGTCTTCCTCATGTCGGCTCCCGAGTAATTATTAAGCCTGGTTCCGAGCAAAGATATTTAGATATAAAGATATTACTATATCACAGTGGCGTCTCGGATAATTCAGAGAGAAATGGCGATTGCCATGTCTAAAAAGGCTCGATCTGCTTTGATTGAGTGAAAGCCAGTAAAGTGACCGTGATGCCATTTCTATCATGATGCCATTTCTATGAACTCGGTGATTGGCGAATATTGGCTATATATTAGTCAGTCATTGCTGGAAGAGTTCTTAGAGTTCTTTTCGGGGTGCTGAAACTGGTAACTTCCATAGATTAGATTATGTTATGGTCCGAGCCAAAATTCGTATAAAACTTGCAAGTCGTAAGAAACAGCAGTATCGCATGATCTTTCAACTATCTCAAATTAAATGATCTGTGACGATAAGCGTATTTCAAACCTACTGGTCCCAACTAAAGATATGCACAAAAGTCAGCCACTTTAGTAGGAAATGCGCTAGATGGGTGTCGGAAGTAACTGTCTGAAAAAGTTGCCAAAGCTCGAATATCAGGAGATGCTGACTATCGGATACTTCGAAGAATTACAACGACAGCAGCATGGCGGGACAGGAATCGCTATTGGAGCGATATGGCTTTGAGAATGGAGACGGCTGCTGCTCGGATAGGTGATAATAGGAAACTGTTTCGCCTTCTCCACAAAACAATTATAACTCCAGAAGTGGTCAGTGAAATGGTACGAGATATTAATGGGGTGCCTAATAAAGCTGTCAAGGATCGCCTCAGAAGATGGAAAGAATTTACTAAGGTCAAACTTAACCACGATGCTCCATCTATTGTCCCGAATATAACTGATTTCTCGTCGAGCTTTACGTTTGCAACTCTAAGCCGCCAACAGAATAATCTCTATAATCCAAAAGACTAATAAAACTCCCGGAGAAGATGGTCTTCGGGCCGAACTCTTCAAATATTATCCATCATTGTTCATAACTCATGTTTCATCAAATATATTCTCTGGTATGACAAAAAAAAATAATACCAGAAAACTGCAGCAAAGCAATTCTGCTTCCCATTCATAAGAAAAGTGATAGGACTGCGACAATTACCGAGGAATCAGCCCACTGGACATCTCCGGAAAAATTTTCGCTTCCCCACGAGATAGCAGAATGCATTCTAATCAAGCTGGATTCAGAGTGGGACGTGATTGTATTGATCAGATATTTAAAGTAAGAAAGGTAGGTGCTCGAACATCGCTTCAAATATTAGCAACTCACCAAATCATTTACTTAATCGATTTTACAATTGCCATCGATTCGTTTGATAGGGCAGCGCTCTGGAGAGTGATAGAATGTGACGGTGTCGCAGAGAAGATCATTCGGCTCATAAAGGCATTTTATCAGCATATCCTGGCGCGTACTCTGTGTATATGGGGAACTGACAGACTCCTTTGAAATAAAAACTGGTGTCCACCAGGGTTGCGTTCTTTCCCTCACAATATTGTCGGCAGTCAAGAGATGTGCGACGCGGTTACGCTGATGATGTAGTCCTTTTTGTCAATTATGAGGATAGTTATGCAAATAATGTTAAACAATGTTCAACAAGTGCAGCGAGAATTGGACTCAAAATCAATGTAAATAAAACGAAAGCATTTTCGTCTTATATACAAAATGCTGATAAAATATCTATTTTTATCAACTTATTGCCGGTTGAGGAAGTGCTGGATTTTAAAACCTTGGATCCACTCTAATCCCAAATGGCCAGGCAAAGAATGGAATCGTAACCTGGACAACAACAGATATGTTTTTTCGGTTTATGAAATTTTTATGGAATCGTCGCGAAATCACCATAAAGACGAAAATCCTCGTCCAAATAGCTGCAATTTTTTCGAAGTTGCTATATAACTCTGGGACATGGCCAATGAGAGTGGAGGGAGAAGATATCTGATATTAAGAAGATATCTGCCTTTGACCATTCATATCTAAGGTATATTTTACCAATCTGTCGAACAAATAAAATCGCACATGATTATATCCACCTCAAATACCACCTAAATTAATAATGTTATAATGTCACCGAGTGTAGCCTTCGCTGGGTAGGGCATTTTCCCTCGTCCACCACAGGAGTTGACGCATATTTCGTTATTTGCTAAACCTTGTGATGGTTGACGTCGAGAAGAGGACCAGTCAAGTCTTGGACTGGAAAGATTTTAAACGTATAAGGAGACCAGCGATATATGGACTTTGATGATGGAAAAAGGAATGGCTTCTATTAATACTAGTGATGGCGTCGGACCGAGCAGCTTGCAAATGCTCTTACTCTTGTAGCCAACGGAGCTAGCCTAACCAATAATGGTGAAAACTGTTAGAAAAAGAAGTGCTGTTGGTGTAGATATGCTTACTTCTGATAAACGATATTTGTGATAAATATGCAAACCGAGTATTGTGAGAGTAAAAAAAAGTGCATGATTACAATTTTATCAAATTTTCATTGTTTCATTCATTGTTAAAATGAATTTCTATCATGCAATTTAAAAATTTATAGTAGATCTCTACAATTAAATTTTATTAGTCTATTCATTAAGAGAATCGCGAATTAATTTGTTCGATCCGAAGTTAATGGGCTAATCATTTAAATTAATTTGAAAAATTTTTTTTTTTTAAATGAAATTCATTTTTAGGCAAACAAAGAAAGCGAAGGGCTTGTAACAACAATTCGCTTGAATTTGCAATATCCATAAAATAATATTGACAATAGAAAAATGCTAATTAAGTAGCCAAATAAAAAAAAAAAGAAAGCATCATCAAGGAAACTATTTCAAAGCAAGAATCACGGAATTTTTAAGTTTCGTCCCAAAATTCCTTTTTATCGAATGCAGTTCTTATGAAGTGCAGTAGAAGAAATGATCAAAATCCTGAATGAGGAAAAACCATAAACATTAATTTTACGTATTTTCAGATATATTTACGTATTTATTTCTAAATTATAGTTTCAAAAAAGGAATGTGAAGTCATTTTTGTGGTTTTTCTTGTTTTAAAAAAAGGCCAACATGTTTCTGTGGTTTTTAAGGTTC